TGGCCGCGTGCTCGTGGATCCTCACCGCAACCCGGCTGTCCACCATCCACCTGAAGAACTTCCCCACGTTGAAAATGAGTCCGCACCGAAGCGACTTTCCGCGGCTGAACTTGTCCTCAGTGCTCATGTTGTACATGGACAACGCACTGAGTGCCGCTGTGATGCAGTTCACCGAGACGGTCCAAGACATGACAACCTTTATGGCACTTTGAATCTCATATTTGGTGCATTTGGCATAGCGCAAACTCAGGCGCTGCGCTTCCTTCGCGACCCTCATGAGCGCACGGCTGATGAGGACCGAGAGCCTAGCCAGGATCTCCTGTGACACGACCCCCATCCTCAACTCTTCGTCCTTGTTTAGTGCGCTCTCTACTTCCCCGAGGCTCCATGGCACGTCCTCTAGCTCGGGTAGTTTAGCGCACTGTCCGAAGCACTCCAGGTTCTCGGCGTCTTCGACCAGGACGGTGTTGACAGTGTCCAGGCTGTTGTGTCGACTGTGCATGGAGTCGGTTAAATGCCAGAAATTCGCCCCATGCGCATACTGTATATGTGCCTCGGAACAGCACAGCGAAGCACTGGAAGACCTGAAGGAGTCCGCTGCTCCACCATAACCCGAATCAAGCGTCAAATCCTCCAGGGTCCTCGTAACTGACTTATCACTACTCCTTGCCATAACTGCACCTCATTCTGTAAAGAGGGCTTTGGAATTAATGGCACAAAACGTCCCGCAACGTCGCCTAATTAAATTAAATGAATGCAATTAAAGCCATAACCTTTTATCCTGTTGCCTTCAGTGAAAAAACATCAACTTGTTATTCCTCAGTCCAAACTAAAACTTCAAAGACGTTGCATCGTAGCACATCGTGCAGCTACAGTGGTCTGTGTTTTACGCAGTAAGAGCCTGATAGATGGAGGCGGGGCTATGGAGAATAGAGCGCTTTAAACGGCCAATACACTCTCTGGATAACTGAGTTTTTGAATTAGGACCGCCTCATAAAATTTCATTTACATTAGGCTACTCAGTTCAATGTATAGCCCATACGAGGAGTTTATATGAAGTACCTTTATAATTATTATTCATCTAATATTCTTTATTTTTTGTTAGCTTATATTGGAAAATATAACTTCATAAAGTAAGCTATGGTCGACTTCCCGTGCTCAGATGTTGCATGCATCAACCAATGGTTGCGTGCCACTTCATCGACTGTGTCATCGACTGACAGATTGCTATAACATATGATGTGGGTAGCTGATACCTAAAATACCTATCCAAGCGTTGTAAGATCTGGCATGCATCAGCAAAGCCTGGGCAGAGGAACACACCCAGTCCCTTAATTTGCTGTAATTTGAACATGAGGTCAAACATCAAGGCTAATGGTATGATTGTAATGGACTGGATAAACTGGATAATGTGGTTATCCACATAGTGCAGCAAATGTGTCATGCTATGGATAGCAAAGTCCCTTATACATTTTTTTCTGGCAGCAATGATGGTAACATGACTCAAGAATATTAATAATGGATGACATGCATAATGTATCCCCTCTCTGTGGTCCCTGTCCCTTACATGGAGATAGCTAGAGCTCATTGAAAGGAAGACATCTGAATTCTTTGTCAAGGTCATACCTTATACTGCATCATATGCTAAAGATGCATCATTTGATTGACTGTGTGTGTGTGTGTGTGTGTGTGTGTGTGTGTGTGTGTGTATGTGCGTGTGTGCGCACGTGCGTGTGTGTGGATTGAGTCTTTGACAGGCTGAAAATTATAATTTTATAGGCACAAACAAACTGCATGTATGAGAGAGAGGGAGAAAGAGAGAGAGAGCGAGAGAGGTTGGCGACCATGTACATAACATATTATGTCAACATGTGTAACAACAGAAAATGTCCCTGAGCTGATTGATAGCCCTATGCCATAGACGGCTTTGGGTGCATCTTAATATCTCCTTTCTCCTGAAGAGTCCATTCCCACAAATGTAAAAGCATTGGATTGGTTGCTGCATGAGCTAGTGGGATGTTCCACTTGCCCGATGACTCACCCTGAATTTAATTCTGCTGCTCTATCGATCGCTACATACATTCAGTCTGAAACTGCCATTCTAGAAGTCGTTTGTGGGACTTCAAAATGAGGGGCGTTGTACAAAACAAATTCATCAGCGATTGGATCATCTCTAACAAATCTAACCAATCAGTGTGTCAAAGTTGATAACGTCATCAAAGAGTTTCTAAACCCAGAGGCCCAACATCGTGAGACTTCAGGGAACGCTTGCGAAACAGACCAAACAGACCAGCCCGAGGTTTGAGAAGTAAATGAGAGAAGTGAAAAATTCTTCCTTGGTTGTTAATTTTCTCAAAATATAAAGGCAAAACCTAGATTCAAGCCAATGTCTTAAGTGGTTTAAGTTGTTATTACTCCAACATCATGAGTGACAAACAGACACGTTTTCATTTTCGTTAAAAACAACTTTATATCAAAGGAGTGCATTTTGATTTGATAGCCAGCACATGCGCAGTTTGTCTCGAGACGACCGGTAGACACAATGACGTGTTTCTATGCATGAGTTTAGCTAGCCAACGTCGCCATGACATCGCCTACAAGTGTGATCGGGGATTTCTATTGGAGAAGCAGTTTTAGCCTATTTTCATACTGTACTGTCTTTAACATCATCATGTTTGCCGGCTCTGGCCCAACCCATCCGTTTCTGGGACCAATCAGAACGGTCAGAATGTCTTCGCATTCTAGAAATCATCGGGGAGGGAGGAAAATCCAGACTCAACGTGGAGAAGTGTCAGTTGACCGGAGCGATGTGGATGGGTAGCCAGACAAATGTTCCACCATATTTCTTATACCAGTCATGTCCTTTCAAATCAGTGAGGGGAAGTAAACAGGCACACACTTTGGGAGGACAGAGAGATAATTGGGACATAGCCTATTTCTCATCTAACATTAAATCATCCTTATATGGGGCACTGTTGACCTCTGTGAGATTGAAGGCACATACACAGATAACAGTCAACGCTGCTGTTTATAATAATATAATAATATGCCATTTAGCAGACGCTTTTATCCAAAGCGACTTACAGTCATGCGTGCATACATTTTTGTGTATGGGTGGTCCCGGGGATCGAACCCACTACCTTGGCATTACAAGCGCCGTGCTCTACCAGCTGAGCTACAGAGGAGTATTATATACTATTTATTACACTGCATGACCAAGTCACAACAAACTTTTATTTGTAAATTCAGTCCATTATTACTATGCATCCTACCTCTTCTATTACTTGTTATTTTTTACTTGACTCTTTTATTGTTTTATTGTTATTTTATTGTTATTATTGTTATTGAATGATATACTGCATTGTTGAGGATCTAGTACATTGCATTTCGCTGCACCTTTCATACCTGCTGTAAACTGTGTATGTGACAAATAACATTGATTTGATTTTAATTTGATTGCGGGAGAATATTTTTTGGTACATTTGACTGTAGTTGTATGCTGCTTATCCCTGGAGCAACACTGAACCCTGGTGCTCAGTTTGCAAAACTCAATCATTATGTCAAAGATCTAGCCCCACCATATATTTCCAGACTAGGAAGGCTACTATAAAGTAATTCCCTTATTATTTTACATATTCAAAGTTCACACAGTCATGTTGTCGCTGAACCTTTCCTTGATAAAATGATGATCAACTATACAATAGGCAGCCTAATGTATGCTACTAAAGATGTTGTGTTGTTATTGCATGTTACAATTTAGTGTCTAGATATTCAAACTGCATGCTTCCTCACCCAACTACCCACCCATCCCTTGTCCCGTGAATAAACTACTACAGTATGTAATTGTTTCACACAATCATCACCCACATGATGTTTTCACCCCTCATGCTTCAGGACAATGTAATTAAAGTGTAGGCCCTAGTAATGCAATACAGTGTAAATATTTGTTTTCCGCTCATTGAAAATTGGTTGCTTCTTTTAAGGTGTTTAGGCTAACTTATGATCATTGCTGAGAAGTTGTTGATTGAAATCTGATCTCATCTGACATTCTGCATTGGTAGGCATGCATAATATCTAGGCAATAGGCATTATTTGGTTTGAATCCATTTAGAAATGATAGCATTTTAACGTAAATACATAGTGGTACATAGTCTCACCGCAATACATAAAATAGAGTTTTTGAAATTCATCACATGCATAGATGTGTGATGGTGATGGGGTTGCCCACTAGACCTACCGATACACTTGAAAATAATGTGTTCATCCGGGTCCTGCGTAATTTATCATGACGCGGGCAGGCAGCACACATTTTTGTCAACAACATCCTAAATAAAATCAATAATCCGACTATGGTGTTTAAAGTAAGCTGTAAATAACTGATTAAACATAAACCATTGTGTTTTGTGGATATTTACCTTGTATAAATGATGCCTGTGGAAAAAACAGAAGATAGTTGTAAGCACCTACAGAAAAGTGAGCGAGGTAACCTTACGTAACTGGTAACATTGACCAATCAGATTCGTTCATTCCTATCCGCGTACCTCATTGGGTGGAGTCGTTGTCAAATAAAGTTAATTTCAACTGGAAACATTCTACATTGCAAATGGGAATACATTCGAGTGATACTGGAAGACAGATTAATTTCTCATTTCTGGTCAAAACGTTCTACCTGCTGTACTTTAGTTCACTCGCTCGCGCTTACTGAACCAGCGCTCTTCTTCCTTCTCTGGAAAATAGCTAGCTACAACAACGCAATTATACCTTTTCGAGCTGCTAGGCTAGCCAGCAGGTCGAACATCGTTTTTAATTGTTTTTTTTAACTTAATTGCTCTTTTTATCTAATACTATACATTATAAAACCACCTAGGCGACTGAACCAAAACTAAGTTTGGGCATGCAAGGGCTATTGTTTTAGCTCGTAAGTGTTTTGTTTTGACGTCAACGCAGCGCTATCACCAATACTCGAGTCGCGGACATAACTAGAAGAGACAGCAGGTGAAATGGTCGGCAACACGATCCACTGGTTCAGGAAGGGACTGCGGCTCCACGACAACCCCTCTCTGAAGGAGTCTATTCGGGGAGCAGACACCCTTCGTTGTGTTTACATCCTAGACCCCTGGTTTGCAGGGTCCTCTAACGTGGGCATCAGCAGGTGGAGGTATTAGAGCAGTGGTTCATAAACGGGTAGTGCATCATCAGTTCCTCTTGTCATGTTAGTCATTTTTTTTAGGCCAAATATCACATAATTACACATTAGACATGGCAAAATGTATAGAATTGTGTAAGAAAAAATTAGCTTCAAAACTGCAACATTTTCTTTGCACCCCATGATTTTTTTTTTAGAATTGCAGGAAATAAGCTTTCAACTTGCAAAATTCTCTCCACCAACAAGAGGGGTGTGAACAGTTTTTGTGTCATGAACAGTGCTTGTGCCCATAGAAATAGACGGGGCGCGGGATGTTCCCCAATGGTGGAAGGGGCCCAGAGTAAAAAAGTTTGGGAACCCCTATATTAGAGGACGTTTTTAATTGAGTGGCTCATATTGCATTCACACACAACACAGATGTGTTTAGCGCAGATGTAGGTCACACAGATCCCTGCTTTTTGCATTCAGAAATGTTGTTTAAGTTCAAAGAAAGACTTGCCACATTTGTGAATTTGAGTCTCGTAGCCTAGGGGCTCTGATGGATCCGTCATGGTGACCTTTTTGATAGATTATGACCTTGTGCGCATGCCAGACATCGCTCATGCACTGTTGGTCAATAGGTTAAGGAAAACCAAATCTGGGTCATCATAACACCAGGAGGAATCCCAGTTGCTGTAGGTGGTTATCGAATGACAGTGTGTGTGTGGTGTGCCGCCTTGGTAGGAAAGTAGGGCTTTCCTAGCGCCACACTTATGCACACAGCTATAGTAAATATCTGTGTGCAACACAGGAAATAAGGGCATTCCAGGGGACCAAGGACTGTTGAGATGACTGATTGAACTTGAATGCCCTCCCTTTCATTTAGCCCAGATACTATGTTGCTTTAGTTTGGCCACTTATGAGAATGTTCATTTAAAGCATAACCTCCTGTTTAGATCGAGACAAGGGGAGAATTACCTGACTGCATTACCCATGTAGAAAACATCCCTGTACGTGGGGCATTCTCAGTTGTTTCTATTACCATCGGGAGAGTAGGCCTACATTTCAGCTAGGGTTTAAGAACATGCATAGCAGTAAGGATTATGTAAGTCCCCCTCCCCGTCCTGGCTGAGTGTGTGCAGGCAGGGGAAATGGGGCACTGTGTCATTGGGGTGGTTATGACATTCTGCTCTCCAGTCCTAGCAGCTTTGACCTACATTTTACCCCCCACTCAACCACGCTTCCTCCAGAGAACTAGCCTCCTCTTATGGTAGCTGCCCTATTAGCCGGTGATTGAGCCGAGGTCAGCGCAGGCAACACACGTAGTCCAGGCAGCTTACATAGCTGTACCAGCCAGAACAGAATGGCATAGGCTGTCTTAGCTATAAGAAATTACACCGCTCCTCTGGGACCAGCACCAGCCTGCCAGAATATACAGTTGAAGTCGGAAGTTTACATACACCTTAGCCAAATACATTTAAACTCAGTTTTTCACAATTCCTGACATTTAATCCTAAAAAAAAATCCCTGTTTTAGGTCAGTTAGGATCACCACTTTATTTTAAGAATGTGAAATGTCAGAATAATAGTAGAGATCATTATTTATTTCAGCTTTTATTTGTTTAATCATATTCCCAGTGGGTCAGAAGTTTACATACACTCATCAATTAGTATTTGGTAGCATTGCCTTTAAATTGTTTAACTTGGGTCAAACGTTTCGGGTAGCCTTCCACAAGCTTCCCACAATACAGTGGGGAAAAAAGTATTTAGTCAGCCACCAATTGTGCAAGTTCTCCCACTTAAAAAGATGAGAGAGGCCTGTAATTTTCATCATAGGTACACGTCAACTATGACAGACAAATTGAGTGAAAAAAATCCAGAAAATCACATTGTAGGATTTGTAATGAATTTATTTGCAAATTATGGTGGAAAATAAGTATTTGGTCACCTACAAACAAGCAAGATTTCTGGCTCTCACAGACCTGTAACTTCTTCTTTAAGAGGCTCCTCTGTCCTCCACTCGTTACCTGTATTAATGGCACCTGTTTGAACTTCTTATCAGTATAAAATACACCTGTCCACAACCTCAAACAGTCACACTCCAAACTCCACTATGGCCAAGACCAAAGAGCTGTCAAAGGACACCAGAAACAAAATTGTAGACCTGCACCAGGCTGGGAAGACTGAATCTGCAATAGGTAAGCAGCTTGGTTTGAAGAAATCAACTGTGGGAGCAATTATTAGGAAATGGAAGACATACAAGACCACTGATGATCTCCCTCGATCTGGGGCTCCACGCAAGATCTCACCCCGTGGGGTCAAAATGATCACAAGAACGGTGAGCAAAAATCCCAGAACCACACGGGGGGACCCAGTGAATGACCTGCAGAGAGCTGGGACCAAAGTAACAAAGCCTACCATCAGTAACACACTACGCCGCCAGGGACTCAAATCCTGCAGTGCCAGACGTGTCCCCCTGCTTAAGCCAGTACATGTCCAGGCCCGTCTGAAGTTTGCTAGAGTGCATTTGGATGATCCAGAAGAGGATTGGGAGAATGTCATATGGTCAGATGAAACCAAAATATAACTTTTTGGTAAAAACTCAACTCGTCGTGTTTGGAGGACAAAGAATGATGAGTTGCATCCAAAGAGCACCATACCTACTGTGAAGCATGGGGGTGGAAACATCATGCTTTGGGGCTGTTTTTCTGCAAAGGGACCAGGACAACTGATCCGTGTAAAGGAAAGAATGAATGGGGCCATGTATCGTGAGATTTTGAGTGAAAACCTCCTTCCATCAGCAAGGGCATTGAAGATGAAACGTGGCTGGGTCTTTCAGCATGACAATGATCCCAAACACACCGCCCGGGCAACGAAGGAGTGGCTTCGTAAGAAGCATTTCAAGGTCCTGGAGTGGCCTAGCCAGTCTCCAGATCTCAACCCCATAGAAAATCTTTGGAGGGAGTTGAAAGTCCGTGTTGCCCAGCGACAGCCCCAAAACATCACTGCTCTAGAGGAGATCTGCATGGAGGAATGGGCCAAAATACCAGCAACAGTGTGTGAAAACCTTGTGAAGACTTACAGAAAACGTTTGACCTGTGTCATTGCCAACAAATGGTATATAACAAAGTATTGAGGAACTTTTGTTATTGACCAAATACTTATTTTCCACCATAATTTGCAAATAAATTCATAAAAAATCCTACAATGTGATTTTCTGGATTTTTTTCTTCTCATTTTGTCTGTCATAGTTGACGTGTACCTATGATGAAAATTACAGGCCTCTCTTATCTTTTTAAGTGGGAGAACTTGCACAATTGGTGGCTGACTAAATACTTTTTTCCCCCACTGTAAGTTGGGTGAATTTTGGCCCATTCCTCCTGACAGAGCTGGTGTAACTGAGTCAGGTTTGTAGGCCTCCTTGCTCGCACATGCTTTTTCAGTTCTGCCCACACATTTTCTATAGGATTGAGGTCAGGGCTTTGTGATGGCCACTCCAATACCTTGACTTTGTTGTCCTTAAGCCATTTTGCCACAACTTTGGAAGTATGCTTGGGGTCATTGTCCATTTGGAAGACCCAATTGCGACCAAGCTTTAACTTCCTGACTGATGTCTTGAGATGTTGCTTCAATATATCCAAATAATGTTCCTTCCTCATGATGCCATCTATTTTGTGAAGTGCACCAGTCCCTCCTGCAGCAAAGCACCCACACAGCATGATGCTGCCACCCCCGCGCTTCACGGTTGGGATGGTGTTCTTCGGCTTACAAGAACCCCCTTTTTCCTCCAATTATAACGATGGTCATTATGGCCAAACAGTTTTATTTTTGTTTCATCAGACCAGAGGACATTTCTCCAAAAAGTAAGATCTTTGTCCCCATGTGCAGTTGCAAATCGTAGTCTGGCTTTTTTATGGCGGTTTCGGGGCAGTGGCTTCTTCCTTGCTGAGCGGCCTTTCAGGTTATGTCGATATAGGACTCGTTTTACTGTGGATATAGATACTTTTGTACCTGTTTCCTCCAGCATCTTCACAAGGTCCTTTGCTGTTGTTCTGGGATTGATTTGCACTTTTCGCACCAAAGTACATTAATCTCTAGGAGACAGAACGCATCTCCTTCCTGTGTGGTATGACGGCTGCGTGGTCCCATGGTGTTTATACTTGCGTACTATTGTTTGTACAGATGAACGTGGTACCTTCAGGCGTTTGGAAATTGCTCCCAAGGAGGGAACCAGGCTTGTGGAGGTCTACCATTTTTTTGGCTGATTTCTTTTGATTTTCCCATGCACAGTCAACTTAGTGTATGTAAACTTCTGACCCACTGGAATTGTGATTCAGTGAATTATAAGTGAAATAATCTGTCTGTAAACAATTGTTGTAAAAATTACTTGTGTCATGCACAAAGTAGATGTCCTAACTGACTTGCCAAAACTATAGTTTGTTAACAAGATATTTGTGGAGTGGTTGAAAAACGAGTTTTAATGACTCCAACCTAAGTGTATGTAAACTTCCGACTTCAACTGTATATATAGGCCTAGTCAATATAAAGTTCCCAGTGTGTGTAATCTGCTTGGGGTGAGTGGCACAACTGATTCTCAGACAGAATTGAGCCTAGCCAACAATGTTTGCTTTGTGGTCACCTTGCATTACCCTGCTGTTCAAGCATATGCATGATGATGACATTGCTTGTAGGGCCGCTAGTCGTCAAGGGTTGCATAATAGGCTATATTACCTTTTCAGAGATCACATTTTAAACCCTGCTGCCTCCAGTGCTGCTTGGGCTAAACGCTCTACAAAACCTGTTTCATAAGAGTTCCAAGTACAGCAGTCACTGTGTGAATGGAGGAGCACAACCCAAAACAAGGACACCATTCTCAGATAAGGGTTTGGATGAAGTGATGCCTCCTTAACCTCATTTTATCAATTTTCGCCTAAAAAACACAAATCTAACTCCCTGTAGCTCAGGACCTGAAGCAAGGATATGCATGTTCTTGGTACCATTTGAAAGGAAACACTGAAGTTTGTGGAAATGTGAAATTAATGTAGGAGAATTTCACACATTAGATCTGGTAAAAGAATACTAACAAAAAAAACATGTTTTTTCAATTTTTTGTTTTGTTGCATCACCTTTGAAATGCAAGAGAAAGGCCAGACATTGATGTAGGAATCTAGGTGTGATTTAGATTTTGTCCACAAGATGGCAGCATTGTGTGTGCAAAGTTTCAGACTGATCCAGTGAAGAATTACATTACTACACAATATTTTGTATCAAGTCTGCCAGGACTTTTCCCAAATTTTCCAAATTGGTCAATTTATACATTTTCAGGTACATAGCTGATCAAAAGCAGGGGAAGGGAGCTTAAAGGGACCAAATTCGGTCTCAATGACCAGTTTCCCCGGGAGATAAATGGGCTTAAAAACAAAGGTGTCCATGTATGCCGATGACTCAAGTTTTATATTAAGTCTGCAAGCTAGATCCCTGCAATGTCTCATTGAAGTTCTAGATAGCTTTTCTGGACTAAAACCTAATTATGATCAATGTACAATATTACGTATTGGATCTTTAAAAAATACAACTTTTATATTACCCTGCAGGGGGGGGGGGGGATCAAACCAGTTGCCGTGACAAAAGTGTTTTGTTCTTGTGCACTATCCTCAAACAATAGCATGGTATTTTTTTGCTGTAATAGCTACTGTAAATTGGACAGTGCAGTTAGATTAACAAGAATTTAAGCTTTCTGCCCATATAAGACGTGTATGTCCCGGAAAGTTGGCGTTGTTTACAATGCCATTCTAGTCACATATCGCATATTGAGCAGCAACCGTCCCGGTATAGGGACACAGATCCCGTAGAGGTTAAAGGGACAGTTTAGTCACCCAACACAGAACACAACGTTTAGACAGTCACCTTCTCTTGACTTGGTTGATATCCAAGTTTTCATAACAAATTAGGCCTAGTTAAAGGGGTAATTTATTGGCTACATGATACAATGAGAAGCAGCTAACATTCCCATGATTGCAATTCCTTTCTACTAGCCTTCTTTTCAATTCAATCTCCACTTTACATTAACTTCAAAGGCTTTGTTGACATGAAGTAAAGCCGTTGATATGATGCAACTCTACTTACCATTGACTTTGTTGTCCTTAAGCCACGGCTCACATGATGGATATATGTATCATAATGAGAGCTGGAACATCCATCACGTGACCTTGGGATAATGTGAATACCATATAATGTAAATACCATATTTGCCTGAATACACGTAATAAGATCAGCGTTACATCTTGTTACATCTGTAGCCTATTTCCTCTCTGATATATGATCAGATCATTCATCATCTTCTCCGTTTGATTCCAGGTTCTTACTACAGTGTCTGGAGGACCTAGACGCCAGCCTCCACAAGCTAAACTCCTGTCTGTTTGTCATCCGGGGCCAGCCTACTGATGTCTTCCCCAGGCTGTTCAAGGTACAGTAAACACTGTCACATTTGTACTGTAGTAGTAAACCCATCACGCTACTGTATCATAGTTAACCCATCACACTTACAGTACTGCACAGCCACTGTGTACAGTACACGTCTGCCTCATAGAAGTACAGGATGCCCCATAGAAATACGGTCTCATATATGATTAAACTAGTCAGTTACTGTACTGTACTTCCGCTGTGTCATATCAGCTCAAATGTCTTGATATACAGTGCATTCGGAAAGTATTCAGACCCCTTGACTTTTTCCCAAAAAAAATTACGTTACAGCCTTATTCTAAAACTGATTAAATTGTTTTTTGCCCTCATCAATCTACACACAATACCCCATAATGACAAAGCAAAAACATCACATTTAAGTAAGTAGTCTGACCCTTTACTCAGTACTTTGTTGAAGCATCTTTGGCAGCGATTACAGCCTCGAGTCTTCTTGGGTATGACGCTACAAGCTTGGCAAACCTGTATTTGGGGAGTTTCTCCCATTCTCTTAAGATCCTCTCAAGCTCTGTCAGGTTGGATGGGCAGTGTCGCTGCACAGCTATTTTCAGGTCTCTCCAGAGATGTTAGATCGGGTTCAAATCCAGGCTTTGGCTGGGCCACTCAAGGAATTTCAGAGACTTGTCCCGAAACTACTCCTGCATTCTCTTGGCTGTGTGCTTAGGGTCTGAGGTCCTGAGCGCTCAGGAGCAGGTTTTTATCAAGGATCTCTCTGAACTTTGCTCCGTTCATCTTTCCCTCGATCCTGACTAGTGTCCCAGTCCCTGCCGCTGAAAAACACCCCCACAGCATGATGCTGCTATCACCATGCTTCACCGTAGGGATGGTATTGGCCAGGTGATGAGCGGTGCCTGTTTTCCTCCAGACGTGACACTTGGCATTCAGGCCAAAGAGTTCAATCTTGGTTTCATCAGACCATAGAATCTTGTTTCTCATGGTCTGAGTCCTTTAGGTGCCTTTTGGCAAACTCCAAGCGGGCTGTCATGTGCCTTTTACTGAGGAGTGGCTTCCGTCTAGCCACCATAAGGACCTGATTGGTGGAGTGATGCAGAGATGGTTGTTCTTCTGGAAGGTTCTCCCATCTCCACAGAGGAACTCTGGAGCTCTGTCAGAGTGACCATCGGGTTCTTGGTCACCTCCCTGACCAAGGCCCTTCTCCCCCAATTGCTCAGTTTGGCTGGGAAGCCAGCTCTAGGAAGAGTCTTGGTGGTTCCAAACTTCTTCCATTAAAGCATGATGGAGGCCACTGTGTTCTTGGGGACCTTCAATGCTGCAGAAATGTTTTGGTACCCTTCCCCAGATCTGTGACTCAAAACAATCCTGTCTCGGAGCTCTATGGACAATTCCTTAGACCTCATGGCTTGGTTTTTGCTCTGACATGCACTGTCAACTGTGGGACCTTATATAGACAGGTGTGTGCCTTTCCAAATCATGTCCAATCAATTGAATTTGCCACAGGTGGACTCCAATCAAGTTGTAGAAACATCTCAAGGATGCACCTGAGCTCAATTTCGAGTTCATAGCAAAGGGTCTGAATACTTATGTAAATAAGGTATTTCTGTTTTGTATTTTTAATACATTTTAGAATAAGGCTGTAACGTAAAAAAAGTGGAAAACGTCAAGGGGTCTGAATACTTTTTTGAATGTACTCTTCACATGATCTGTATGTGAAAACATTTGCCGTATTTGAATTCCATGGGAATCCATGGTATTGTCTATGATCTTCCTACGTGTTCCACTATCTTTACCAAAGTAAAGGTCCCCTATTTACCATGGTATTTACCATGGTGTCTTGACTGTGGCGTGACTGACCTTGTCCCTCTCTCTCGGCTTCCCAGGAATGGCAGATTAACCGGCTGTTTTACGAGTACGACTCTGAGCCCTTCGGCAAGGAGCGTGACGCCGCCATCCAGAAGCTGGCCAGCGAGGCCGGGGTGGAAGTCACGGTCAAAGTCTCCCACACGCTCTACGACCTGGACAAGTGAGTGGGTCATACAGATGCGCACACACACACAGTCAAGAGATCTCAACTCAGCAAATAAAGAAACGTCCCTTTTTCAGGACCCTGTCTTTCAAAGATGATTCGTAATAATCCAAATAACTTCACAGATCTTCATTGTAAAGGGTTTAAACACTGTTTCCCATGCTTGTTCAATGAACCATAAACAATTAATTAATGTGCACCTGTGGAACGGTCGTTAAGACACTAACAGCTACAGACGGTAGGCAATTAAGGTCACAGTTATGAAAACTTAGGACACTAAAGAGGCCTTTCTACTGACGCTGACACCAAAAGAAAGATGCCTAGGGTCCCTGCACATCTGCGTGAACGTGCCTTAGGCATGCTGCAAGGAGGCATGAGGACTGCAGATGTGGCCAGGGCAATAAATTGCGATGTCTGTACTGTGAGACGCCTAAGACAGCGCTACAGGCAGACAGGACGGACAGCTGATCGTCCTCGCAGTGGCAGACCACGTGTAACAACACCTGCAATGGATCGTTACATCTGAACATCACACCTGCGGGACAGGTACAGGATGGCAACAACAACTGCCCGAGTTACACCAGGAACGCACAATCCCTCCATCAGTGCTCAGACTGTCCGCAATAGGCTGAGAGAGGCTGGACTGAGGGCTTGTAGGCCAGTTGTAAGGCAGGTCCTCACCAGACATCACCGGCAACAACGTTGCCTATGGGCACAAACCTACCGTCGCTGGAACAGACAGGACTGGCAAAAAGTGCTCTTCACTGACGAGTCGCGGTTTTGTCTCACCAGGGGTGATGGTCGGATTCGCGTTTATCGTCGAAGGAATGAGCGTTACACCGAGGCCTGTACTCTGGAGCAGGATCGATTTGGAGGTGGAGGGTCCGTCATGGTCTGGGGCGGTGTGTCACAGCATCATCGGACTGAGCTTATTGTCATTGCAGGCAATCTCAACGCTGTGCATTGCAAGGAAGACATCCTCCTCCCTCATGTGGTACCCTTCCTGCAGGCTCATCCTGACATGACCCTCCAGCATGACAATGCCACCAGCCATACTGCTAGTTCTGTGCGTGATTTCCTGCAAGACAGGAATGTCAGTGTTCTGCCATGGCCAGCGAAGAGCCCGGATCTCAATCCCATTGAGTATGTCTGGGACCTGTTGGACCGTAGGGTGTGGGCTAGGGCCATTCCCCAAAGAAATGTCTGGGAACTTGCAGGTGCCTTGGTGGAAGAGTGGGGTAACATCTCACAGCAAGAACTGGCAAATCTGGTGCAGTCCATGAGGAGGAGATGCACTGCAGTACTTAATGCAGCTGACTGTTACTTTTGATTTTGACCCCCCCTTTGTTCAGGGACACATTATTCAATTTCTGTTAGTCACATGTCTGTGGAACTTGGTCAGTTTATGTCTCAGTTGTTGAAACTTGTTATGTTCATACAGATATTTACACATGTTAAGTTTGCTGAAAAGAAACTCAGTTGACAGTGAGAGGACATTTCTTTTTTTGCTGAGTTAGCTACTGTAGTTCCTGGCCGACATACAGTGGGGAGAACAAGTATTTAATACACTGCCGATTTTGCAGGTTTTCCTACTTACAAAGCATGTAGAGCTCTGTAATTTTCATCATAGGTACACTTCAACTGTGAGAAACGGAATCTAAAACAAAAATCCAGAAAATCACATTGTATGATTTTTAAGTAATTAATCTGCATTTTATTGCATGACATAAGTATTTGATACATCAGAAAAGCAGAACTTAATATTTGGTACAGAAACCTTTGTTTGCAATTACAGAGATCATACGTTTCCTGTAGGTCTTGACCTGGTTTGCACACACTGCAGCAGGGATTTTGGCCAACTCCTCTATACAGACCTTCTCCAGATCCTTCAGGTTTCGGGGCTGTCGCTGGGCAACACGGACTTTCAGCTCCCTCCAAAGATGTTCTATTGGGTTCAGGTCTGGAGACTGGCTAGGCCACTCCAGGACCTTGAGATGCTTCTTACGGCGCCACTCCTTAGTTGCCCTGGCTGTGTGTTTCGGGTCGTTGTCATGCTGGAAGACCCAGCCACGACCCATCTTCAATGCTCTTACTGAGGGAAGGAGGTTGTTGGCCAAGATCTCGCGATACATGGCCCCATCCATCCTCCCCTCAATACGTTGCAGTCGTCCTGTCCCCTTTGCAGAAAAGCATCCCCAAAGAATGATGTTTCCATCTCCATGCTTCACGGTTGGGATGGTGTTCTTGGGGTTGTACTCATCCTTCTTCTTCCTCCAAACACGGCGAGTGGAGTTTAGACCAAAAAGCTCTATTTTTGTCTCATCAGACCACATGACCTTCTCCCATTCCTCTGGATCATCCAGATGGTCATTGGCAAACTTCAGACGGGCCTGGACATGCGCTGGCTTGAGCAGGGGGACCTTGCGTGCGCTGCAGGATTTTAATCCATGACGGCGTAGTGTGTTACTAATGGTTTTCTTTGAGACTGTGGTCCCAGCTCTCTTCAGGTCATTGACCAGGTCCTGCCGTGTAGTTCTGGGCTGATCCCTCACCTTCCTCATGATCATTGATGCCCCACGAGGTGAGATCTTGCATGGGGCCCCAGACCGAGGGTGATTGACCGTCATCTTGAACTTCTTCCATTTTCTAATAATTGCGCCAACAGTTGTTGCCTTCTCACCAAGCTGCTTGCCTATTGTCCTGTAGCCCATCCCAGCCTTGTGCAGGTCTACAATTTTATCCCTGATGTCCTTACACAGCTCTCTGGTCTTGGCCATTGTGGAGAGGTTGGAGTCTGTTTGATTGTGTGGACAGGTGTATTTTATACAGGTAACGAGTTCAAACAGGTGCAGTTAATACAGATAATGAGCGGAGAACAGGAGGGCTTCTTGAAGAAAAACTAACAGGTCTGTGAGAGCCGAAATTCTTACTGGTTGGTAGGTGATCAAATACTTATGTCATGCAATAAAATGCAAATTAATTACTTAAAAATCATACAATGTGATTTTCTGGATTTTTGTTTTAGATTCCGTTTCTCACAGTTGAAGTGTACCTATGATGAAAATTACAGAGCTCTACATGCTTTGTAAGTAGGAAACACTGCCGAATTTGCAGGTTATCAAATACTTGTTCTCCCCACTGTACATTAGATCTTATGAGAACACAACCCATGTTGACTAAAAGTAATGGGAATGTTATTACCTTGTTATTATTAAGTCTTCTAGTTGCTCAAATACGCAAACATTATGTATTAGCAATGTATTTGCAACATATTCATAAATTATGCCATAATGATAGTGTTATGTGATGCACTAAATTCCTTTATCTCTGTCCATGTGTTTCTGTAGGATCATCGAGCTGAACAGAGGCCAGTCCCCTCTCACCTACAAGTGTTTCCAGGTGCTCATAAGTCACATGGATGCTGTGGAGATGCCCGCCGAGACCATCACAGCTGAGGTCATGCGGAAGTGTGCCACGCCCATCAGTGACGACCACGACGACAAGTTTGGTGTGCCCTCCCTGGAGGAGCTTGGCTTTGAGACAGAAGGCTTGGCTACAGCAGTATGGCCGGGGGGAGAGACTGAGGCCCTCACTCGCCTGGAGAGGCATCTGGAGAGAAAGGTGGGAAGGAGTCCTTTCTTTATATCCCACCACTACTGAACCAGTGTGGTGGACACATACAGTACCAGTGTTGGGGTCAATTTTCTTCCTGAAAATGTGACAATATTTGTAATAGAAAAATGCCTTTATTTCCTGAACATAGTGTGTCATGTGCCTGTGAGATAGACATGTTCCAATGTGGTCCTGACTCAAACCCTTTATGTTCCAGGCGTGGGTGGCCAACTTTGAGCGTCCCCGGATGAACGTCAACTCCCTGCTGGCCAGCCCCACGGGCCTCAGCCCCTATCTCCGCTTCGGCTGCCTCTCCTGTCGCCTCTTCTACTTCAAACTCACTGACCTCTACAGGAAGGTGAAGAAAAACAGCTCTCCACCCCTCTCACTCTATGGCCAGCTGTTGTGGCGCGAGTTCTTCTACACCACGGCCACCAACAACCCCTGCTTCGACAAGATGGAGGGCAACCTTGTGTGCGTGCAGATTCCCTGGGACCGCAACCCAGAGGCGCTGGCCAAGTGGGCCGAGGGGAGGACAGGGTTCCCCTGGATCGACGCCATCATGACCCAGCTGAGGCAGGAGGGCTGGATCCACCACCTGGCCAGACATGCCGTGGCCTGCTTCCTGACCCGGGGAGACCTGTGGATCAGCTGGGAAGAGGGCATGAAGGTAGATAATGGGGCATGGCGAGAGAGGAGATGACAGGGGAAAATCTGATGTATGTATGACTAGGGTTGCAAAATTCCAGGAACTTAAATAAATTCCCTGGTTTTCCAGAAATCCTGGTTGGAGGATTCCGGGGTTCAGGAAAACCAGGGAAAGTTCCCAGAATTTTGCAACCCAATGTATGACTGTTTATCGTTGTTCTGTTTGTATCTCAGCATGTGTGTGTTTATGTACCTGTCAGGTATTTGAAGAGCTGCTGCTGGATGCAGACTGGAGTGTGAATGCAGGCAGCTGGATGTGGCTCTCCTGCAGCTCCTTCTTCCAGCAGTTCTTCCACTGTTACTGCCCCGTGGGCTTCGGCAGGAGGACAGACCCCAACGGAGACTACATACGGTGAGAAGACCTTCCCTGCACCCAGTTGTCCACCCCACCGCTATGTTTAACCAGTGTGGTACACCGTAATATACCTTAGTGTTTTATTTCACCATGCTTGTGACAAGACATGTAGAACATGCAGAATACTATGACAAACAATTCTGTTCATGAACCTGCTAGACCACAATGTCTCATTATACATTCCATAGAGTCTTGGTGAGATTTCCATGCTGTACCCACTAGAAATGTCATGGACAATTTTTCTCCATTGTTCATTGCAGAAGAAGTGTGTCACCATGGTCCTTTTTTAAAAACTGTGTATTTTCTCCATTTGGTTTTTCCAGGCGTTATCTGCCCATACTGAAGGGCTTCCCAGCCAAGTACATCTACGACCCCTGGAACGCACCCGAGAGCGTGCAGAAGGCGGCCAAGTGCGTGATAGGCGTGCACTACCCCAAGCCCATGGTGCACCACGCCGAGGCCAGCCGCCTCAACGTCGAGAGGATGAAGCAGATCTACCAACAGCTCTCCTGTTACCGTGGCCTGGGTGAGCACAGAGCACATGACCTGCTGAAACTACAGCTGATATCACAGAGCACACGACCTGCTGAAAGTACAGCTGATAGCACAGAGCACATGACCTGCTGAAACTACAGCTAATAGCTTTGAAGTCCACTTCAAATCAGCTGTTTTCAGATAATAAAGATTTCCATGATAAGCTATTCACAAAGCGTCTCAGAGTAAAAGTTTTGCCTTCTCAATTATAATGAATAAAGGGGGGGGGGGGGGGTGCTGATCCTGGATCAGCACTCCTACTCTGAGATTGATTGTGAATACAGTGACTTTATTTTCTTTTATATTGTTATGTTACCATTATCAATGATTATCTATGGGGCTGTGGTGTGGTAGAGACTGACTGTCCAACTCTGTCTCCATTTCACAGGGCTGCTCGCGACAGTGGCTGCCAATCCTAATAACGGTGGACATGGTGCAGGGGTCACATCCAGAATGAGGGAGCCGCTCAAGCAGGTAACAATCCTCCTTAGTTCCTTCCTTGACTGCCACAGAGAAACTGGGCTTTTTCCAAAGATCAGTGTTAACCTTAATCTTATTTACACTGAGATTGACTGCGACTTCATCCATCTCTGATATGGGCTGTGGCATGGGTGGGAAAGGTGCGTCATGTGATAGTACTTGTCAGGCACGATGTTACTAAGGATAATAATAGAGGTTGCAAATGGGAATAGGCTTTTAATTTACCTCCCTGATTGAACAAAAGGTAGATAAGAATAGTAATCGAAATGTTTGCATTTTTCCATAACCAATTTCATAGGGAAATAATCAGATTATATGATAAAATATTTATTTTATCATTGTTTTTAATTCAGGCAGAGGAAAGGTCGCTGTGAAGCGTTGCAATGAGGACCTCACACCGGGCAGTAGCAACAAGGCCCGGAGGCAGACCAGCAACTAGTCCCTGAAGAGGAGAAGGAAGAGGGGATTCCAGCCACCCTGCTCTCCAGCAGAGTCGACCAGCGCCTCAACATTGCGTCCTCCTTCCCTGACTCTTCAACTCTACAGGAGCACATCTACCTCAGGGGTGTGAGCAGCAACAGGAATGGAAGAGGAGAGGAGACTGCAAGCATTCCACAAACTCTGTCAGATTTCTGTGAAGTCAGCTGGTTAAATGGAACATCAGACCACATGATGCCCAGAGAACTAATCGCAGCATCGCTGTCTGTGACCTTCAGCCTCTGTGGAGAATCTCAAACCCAATGCTCAAATCACAAGCCCACGGTGACACTGTCCCCAGTGTTACTAGAGAGAGGTAATGATGTCTCACAAGATTACTCTCTTTAACATGCACACCACCAAACTGTCTTGTATAGAAGTGTTGGCATCACTATAATTAATACAAAAAACATGGAGGCACAAGTTAGATTTGCTGGAAGAACACTGGGTGGTGGCTGTGTTTGAGCCTGAGGGCATGTTATATGTGCAGTCTTAACCATTGGGAATGGCATCAGCCTCAAGCTGATAACACGATTACCCAACTTGGAATTGTCAGGTCAAATGCCCCTAGTTATTCTATGGGGTATAATGCCGCCTTCAAGTGCTGTTGGAAATTCAGAAATCCAAGGTTCTGAGGAGCATTCAAAGGCAGCATAAGCAGAAGTGCATCATACGTTTTGTAAACACGTTTCCTTCTTATTACCCTTTGTAAATGTATTAAGGGGATGATATAACACTGTATATACAGTACCAGTCAAAGGTTTGGACACCTACTCATTCAAGGGTTTTTCTTTATTTTTACTATTTTCTACATTGTAGAATAATAGTGAAGACATCAAAACAATGAAATAACACATATGGAATCATGTAGTAACCAAAAAAGAGTTAAACAAATCAAAATATATTTAAAATTCTTCAAAGAAGCCACCCTTTGCCTTGATGACAGCTTTGCACACTCTTGGCATTCTCTCAACCAGCATCATGAGGAATGCTTTTCCAACAGTCTTGAAGGAGTTCCCACATATGCTGAGCACTTGTTTGCTGCTTTTCCTTCACTCTGCGGTCCAACTCATCCCAAACCATCTCAATTGGGTTGAGATTGGGTGATTGTGGAGGCCAGGTCATCTGATGCAGCACTCCATCACTCTCCTTCTTGGTCAAATATCCCTTACACAGCCTGGGAGTTGTGATGGGTCATTGTCCTGTTGAAAAACAAATGATAGTCCCACTAAGCGCAAACCAGATGGGATGGCGTATCGCTGCGGAGTTCTGTGGTAGCCATGGTGGTTAGGTGTGACTTGAATTCTAAATAAATCACTGACAGTGTCACCAGCAAAGCACCCCTACACCATCACACCTCCTCCTCCTCCATGCTTCACTGTGGGAACCACACATGCGTCTCACAAAGACACGGCGGTTGGAACCAAAAATCTCAAATTTTGACTCATCAGACCGAAGGACAGATTTCCACCGGTCTAATGTCCATTGCTTGTGTTTCTTGGCCCAAGCATGTCTCTTCTTCTTATTGGTGTCCTTTAGTAGTGGTTTCTTTGCAGCAATTCGACCATGAAGACCTGATTCACGCAGTCTCCTTTGAACAGTTGATGTTGAGATGTGTCTGTTACTTGAACTCTGTGAAGCATTTATTTGGGCTGCAATCTGAGGTGCAGTTAACTCTAATGAACTTATCCTCTGCAGCAGAGGTAACTCTGGGTCTTCCTTTCCTGTGGCGGGCCTCATGAGAGCCAGTTTCATCATAGCGCTTTATGGTTTTTGCGATTGCACTTTTTCCGTATTGACTGACTTTCATGTTTTAAAAGTAATGATGGACTGTCGTTTCTGTTTGCTTATTTGAGCTGTTCTTGACATAATATGGACTTGGTATTTTATAAAATAGGGCTATCTTCTGTATACCACACCTACCTTGTCACAACACAACTGATTGGCTCAAAAGGAAAGAAATTCCGCAATTAACTTTTAAGAAGGCACACCTGTTAATTTAAATGCATTCCAGGTGAATATCTCATGAAGCTGGTTGAGAGAATGCCAAGAGTGTGTAAAGCTGTCATCAAGGCAAAGGGTGGCTACTTTGAATAATCTCAAATATAAAATATATTTTGATTTGTTTAACACTTTTTTGGTTACTACATGATTCCATATGTGTTATTTCATAGTTTTGATGTCTTCACTATTATTAAAACCCTTGAATGAGTAGGTGTGTCCAAACTTTTGACTGGTACTGTAAGTGTGTGTGTGAGGGAGTGATTCAACTCACAATTTGTACAGTAATAATTTGATATTGCATGTTTTTGGTTTCTTTTTCTTGTAACCCAATTGTTATTTTTGTGCCCATTTTGTGTATTTTTGACTGTTCTTAATGTACAGTTGAAGTCGGAAGTTTACATACACCTTAGCCAAATACATTTAAACAGTTTTTCACAATTCCTGACATTTAATCCTAGTACAAATTCCCAGTTTTAGGTCAGTTAGGATCACCACTTTATTTTAAGAATGTGAAATGTCAGATTAATAGTAGAGAGAATGATTTATTTCAGCTTTTATTTCTTTCATCACTTTCCCAGTGGTTCGGAAGTTTACATACACTCAATTAGTATTTGGTAGCATTGCCTTTAAATTGTTTAACTTGGGTCAAATGTTTCGGGTAGCCTTCCACAAGCTTCCCACAATAAGTTGGGTGAATTTTGGCCCATTCCTCCTGACAGAGCTGGTGTAACTGAGTCAGGTTTGTAGGCCTCCTTGCTCGCACATGCGTTTTACTTTGGATATAAAACTTTTGTACCTGTTTCCTCCAGCATCTTCACAAGGTCCTTTGCTGTTGTTCTGGAATTGATTTGCACTTTTCGCACCAAAGTACGTTCATCTCTAGGAGACAGAACGCGTCTCCTTCCTGAGCGGTATGACGGCTGCGTGGTCATATGGTGTTTATACTTGCGTACTATTGTTTGTACAGATGAACGTGGTACCTTCAGGCGTTTGGAAATTGCTCCCAAGGATGAACCAGACTTGTGGAGGTCTACAATTTGTTTTCTGAGGTCTTGGCTGATTTCTTTAGATTTTCCCATGATGTCAAGCAAAGAGGCACTGAGTTTGAAGGTAGGCCTTGAAATACATCCACAGGTACAACTCCAATTGACTCAAATTATGTAAATTAGCCTATCAGAAGCTTCTAAGGCCATGACATCATTTTCTGGAATTTTCCAAGCTGTTTGAAGGCACAGTCAACTTAGTGTATATAAACTTCTGACCCACTGGAATTGTGATACAGTGAATTATAAGTGAAATAATCTGTCTGTAAACAATTGTTGGAAAAATTACTTGTGTCCTGCACAAAGTAGATGTCCTAACCGACTTGCCAAAACTATAGTTTGTTAACAAGAAATTTGTGGAGTGGTTGAAAAACGAGTTTTAATGACTCCCACCTAAGTGTATGTAAACTTCCGACTTCAACTGTATCTGCAGTAAAAGGTTAAAAAAATGTACACCGGCTCAAAGTAATTATTGTAGGCTGATGGTTTGCTTATGGCATGGACATGCAAATATTGGTTGTCTTAAGTTCAATGACCAACTCAGTGGCCTTGTGGTTAGTGTCCACCCTGAGATTGGAAGGTTGCGAGTTCAATACCTGGCCAAGGTCATACCAAAGACTAAAAATGGGACCTGATGCGACTGCTTGGCAGGCCTGCAATAGACTAGCGTCCTGTCCAGGGGGTGTACTTGTACATCAAGCTGCCTCACGCTACAGAAACAGGAGATCGGCTCCTGCCCTATGAGCCGTTCCAGCTCGCACAAGCCAAGGCTCGTGCAAGGCTACTTACTTCACATACTTAAGCTCAATAATAAAAATAGTATAAAGAAAATTCAGTAATAATGCAAAATACAATGAATCTAAAGTAACGGGGGGGGGGGGAGCTAATTTCATGTAATTCTACACATTTCCATATGGCAGAGAGAAAAATGTGCAGTTTTATAGCTAATCTCATGCTATTCTACACATTTTGCAATGAGGCTGAGAGAATAGGTTTGCAAAATTCCAGGAAGTTTTACAGCTAATTTCCTGTAATTCTAAAATGTTTTGCCATGGCTTGTGACCTGTTCATATGCCACACTATATATACAAAAGTATGTGGACACCCCTTCAAATTAGTGGATTCGGCTTTTTCAGCCTCACCCGTTGCTGACGTGTATAAAATCGAGCACACAGCCATGCAATCTCCATAGACAAACATTGGCAGTAGAATGGCCTTGCTGAAGAGCTCAGTGACATTCAACGTGCCACCGTCATAGGATGCCACCTTTCCAACAAGTCAGTTTGTCAAATTTCTGCCCTGCTGGAGCTGCCCCGGTCAACTCAGCCGAAAAGTGGTAGGCCACACAAGCTCACAGAACGGGGACCGCCGAGTGCTGAAGCTCATAGCCCTTAAAAAGTGTCTGTCCTCGGTTGCAACACTCATTATCAAGTTCCAAACTGCCTCTGGAAGCAATGTCAGCACAAGAACTGTTCGTCGGGAGCTTCATGAAATGGGTTTCCATGGCCGAGCAGCTGCACACAAGCCTGAGATCACCATGCGCAATGCCAAGCGTCGGCTGGAGTGGTGTAAAGCTCACCGCCATTGGACTCTGGAGCAGTGGAAACCGCGTTTTCTGGAGTGATGAGTCACGCTTCACAATCTTGCAGTCCAACTGACAAATCTGGCCTTGGCGGATGCCAGGAGAAAGCTACCTGCCCCAATGCATAGTGCCAACTGTAAAGTTTGGTGGAGGATAAATAATGGTCTGGGGCTGTTTTTCATGGTTCGGGCTAGGCACCTTAGTTCCAGTGAAGGAAAATCTTAATGCAACAGCATACAATGACATTCTAGACAATTCCGTTTTGGGAAGGCCCTTTCCTGTTTCAGCATGACAATGCCCCCGTCCACAAAGCGAGGTCCATACAGAAATGGTTTGTCGAGATCGGTGTGGAAGAACTTGACTGGCCTGCACAGAGCCCTGACCTCAACCCCATCGAACACCTTTGGGATGAATTGGAATGACTGCGAGCCCGGCCTAATCGCCCAACATCAGTGCCCGACCTCACTAATGCTCTTGTGGCTGAATGGAAGCAAGTCCCCGCAGCAATGTTCCAACATCTAGTGGAAAGCCTTCCCAGAAGAGTGGAGGCTGTTATAGCAGCAAAGGGGGAAACAACTCCATATTAATGCCCATGATTTTGGAATGAGATGTTCGACTAGCAGGTGTCCACATACTTTTGGTCATTTAGTGTATCTGGGGAGGGAGTGCGAACCCCAGTGCCTCTAATTGTTTCATAATCAGTGGTAAACATGGGACAGCCCCTTTGGTCACGTTGCATCCAGAGAGAGCGGTTCCAGATGTGTCCGCAAATTCCAGAAGCGCATTCTCTCCATCACACACAAACTTTGGATTTAACAAGCAAAATACTGACCCTCACCCTCCTGTCCACAGTTGCCTTTGGCTTTGGTTATACAAGGTAGAACAATTCAGTGGTTGTTATGCACTTAAATTATCCAATGCGTTATTAAGCCTGCCTGCTTATCTGAGTGCGTTATATGAACACTGTTAAACCAGCCAGTTCATATTGTACCTTCTAATGTATCGACGATGTTTGCGGACAAAGTACAGAGGAAACCGCTGCGGCTCATCGGCGCTGCATGCAACAACATGGGAATAGGAAAAGATGGACAATTGCCATGGGATTTACCGTAAGAGATACATTATTATTCATTTATATATTACGGATTTGATTTGATATATGCCTTACGGTTTCAAGTTTGGGCTATGTAAAAGCAAGCATTACAAGTTACATACTTGCGTGATTGTAGCATATTCAATGATAACAAGTCCTTTTTTTCTTTTTAATAGATTTAGGCTACAAGATATTTCTAAACATCTATACTTGGAGCATTAATCAATGCGCATACTACATTTAATTGTGTCCTAAATGCGTAATTACGCATTACATTCTGGCCAGTTGTCAACAGGTGGTATGTGAAGTCGGATCCCATTATGCTTTTTGGGATGGACACAGTTACTTGATAACATTTAATAACAGGTATAACACTTGTCTACATGTATTTCAATATGAATACATGTTTTCAAGTTTGTGGTTCTTGAACTGGTTTAGGTCCATACATAGGAGTATTTGGCAAGAGTTGATAGTATTGGTCCAATCGTAATCAATGTGTACAAATATTGCGTTCACAGGACAGAATTCAAATTCTTTTTGGACACTACAACAAATGTCTCCCTACCAGGTAATTTTGATTGATTTCCTTTCTGACTTAAAGGCTTTTAGCTAACAGTGCTCCAACTCAATGATGGATAAGTAGAGAGCACAGAGAAATGCAGACAAACAAGCTGCGGTTGAAATGCAATAGAACCTTGCACTGTTTCTGTAATAGGTGTAGATACTACAACCTGAGTTATTCAGCTATTGATAGTTTGACAGCAACATTCACTATAAGGAATAAAATAGTAACTTTTTCCAAATGGTCTTTACAATGTAAGGTGAACTCGGTAAACCCTTTCACAGGAAAATTGAACATGATGGTGTGGGGCAGGGGCTGCTGGTTCTCCAACCCAGACAGTCTGTTCTCTATGCTGCCCAATGTCCTCCATGTGGTCCTGAGTACCACCCTGAGGTAAGCCGAAGGTCACACTACTACCAATCACACACACAGTCCACAACCTAACAAAATGTTTTATATACCTCAATGAGTCTTGTATTCAAAGTTGGCCATGTTAATAATTTCACTTAATTTAAACTTGAGTAATTTAAACATAGTCAAATATAGTCAACCGAGATTTAGAAAAGTTGGGTTTTAGAAATGATTGCTTGTTTTGGGTGTCACTCACTCCCAGCACTCTCCCGGAGCATGCCCACTTCCTGTGTCAAGATTTCGACAGCGGGATCGGCTTAGCCTTGCTGCGACCCTTCTGTGACCTGGTGGAGACCATCTGGGTTGTGGGTGGGTCACAGGTCTATCAGGTGACTGTTGTGTCTCTATGTGGGTGGTGGGAACTTTGTGGCACAGTATGACCTGGGCCCGTATTTATAAAACGTCTCAGAGTAGAAGTCCTGATTTAGGATCTGTTTTGCCTTTTAGATCATAATTAATATGATTACATTGAAAGGGGGGACCTGATCCTAGATCAGCATTACTCTGAGATGCTTTATTAAAATGGCCCCAGGACTTTAATATGGGTTAGGAATTTTAAATGGATGGATTATAGGACAGTCCATCCACTATATTAGTCTATATCGTAGCTCATTACCTTTCCCTTGTCATCAGGAGGCCCTGATGCATCCCTGGTGTGAACTCATCTACCTCACTGACATCATGGCTGACTTCGACTGTGACGTCTTCTTCCCGCAGTTTGACCGAAGCATTTTTAGAAAACAAGAGAGGTAAGGAAGCATATTTTATTCTCTGCTCTCCTGGCCCTAGGCTGCAACACTGTTTGCTTAATCTTTGGACTGTTTTGATAAGTGGATCTATACTCTGTTCTGATTGGCCAAGTAACACACACACGTCAGGCCAAGTGTTTGAAAGCTCTTTGTGTCTTCATCAATCTGTCTAAGTTGTCCCTTTTTGTTTCCTTTAACTTCAAACTAGGTTTCCTGGAGTACCAAATGATATTCAAGAGGAGAATGGGGTTACATTTAAGTTTGAAGTTTTCAAGAGTGAGATCTGTGGAGCTGAGGTGATTTAAAACTGTAACTTACTGCATGAATGAAAACATTGACTATTCTTTGTCAGATCTTAGGTGCCTTTTTTGAACTATTCTGTTCTCCAGTGCAATTCGAATAGTTATCATTATCCAGTTGAACATTACAAATGTCCCACTCACTCTGCTTCATCTCATGTGCCTGTGACTCCATCAGCACAGTTCCATAACACTAATGAATTAGAAAAGTCAACAAGTCCATCCCATTCTGATTTGTGTTACTGTTAGTCATGTGTTGTCAGATACAGAAGGCTTTTCATGTTTGGCATAAATGATGGATCCACTGCTGTCCAATATAATAGCCTTCCTTGTTTGATGTATCATCCTTGCTATCCTTTCCCCTTATCTGTAATATTCTGCTAGGACCAAACCAATATGGCTCTGTCTGAGTCAGAGCTTATGTCAGAGCAAGAGTGGCCTGGGGTGACTCATAACAATGTGGGCACTAGGGATGGGGGGGTTGTTCCCGATTTATGTCTGAACATTTCATATCATATGGCAATTAAAGTATGGAGTCGCCACCCAAAGCCTGGAAATCAGCCTGGAATGTTTTTTACATTTATAATTACGATGATATCAAAATCAATCAAATCAAATTGTATTTGCCACATCGCAATACAACAGGTGTAGGTAGACCTTACAGTGAAATGCTTACTTACAAGCCCTTAACCAACAATGTAGGACTGGTAGAGTTATGTCGCACATGCAGCTAACAAAAACATATGGAAATGTCTACTCTACCCAAAATTACAACCAAATAATTGCAGCATTACCGCAAAAATGGAAGAGGAAAGTGGAAGGGGGAGAAAGTAAGGAACTTGTCTGTCGGCCCTGCATTAAAGAACATAATTGGTTTAAGAAAATTGTGATAAATAAAGGATACCAGTTTAATTTAAGGACCAAAGGTTTGACAGCCGTCCCATATAGATTGCAAAATAGTTGGGAATAGATTTTTGACGTACCTATTTCATGGCACAGTGTTTATGAACTTATACGCAAAACGACGCCGGATTCAGAAGTTATAATTTTTCAATTTAAATTATTATACAAAATCCTTGCTACCAATAGAATGTTATTTATATGGGGGATACAATCTTCCCAGCTCTGCAGATTTTTTGGTACTGTCCATTTGTAGCTTGTTTTTGGACACAGGTCCAGGAATGGCTAAAGGATTGCAATATTTATGTGGAGCTAACCCTGCAGATAGCACTACTGGGTGATCTGAAAAGTCATAGTCAATCGATAAATAATATAATAATACTTTAAGCAAAAAATGTTTATTTTCAATGTACAATCTGTAGAAACAATGAGAATAGAAGGGTTCAGAACTTCTGTAAAACATCACAGTACAGTTGAAAATATATATATATATATATATATATGGCAAATAGAAATCCAATATGGATTGTGATAAGAGATAGATGGGTGGTATTGAATGGAGTTGAAGGATGGGACTAATAACAACTAACAACAACTAATAACAACAAGATAACTAATGTAAAGCATACTGTGTCCATAAATGGTATATAGGTTTTACATTTTAGTCATTTAGCAGACGCTCTTATCCAGAGCGACTTACAGTTAGTGAGTGCATAAAAAAAAATTTCATACTGGCCCCCCGTGGGAGTCGAACCCACAACAACTGAGCTACAGGAGGCAGCAAGCTTATAGGTTCTGAGCTTTTGTGAAAAAGCACAGTTAGAAAGATATGGCATATAGAAGCAAACCGGATGGACATCATGAAAATGATCGGAGAGGTTGAGTGTAAAGGAAGTTCAGGAGTAAAAACAAACATAATATAATTATTGTAAAATTTACTGTGTCCATAAAATGTATATAGTATGTATACGCTGGAAGTAGAGGCCTAAGCATTGTTGTTCACTAGCTTACTCCAATTAGGGAAGGTGTGGTGGGGTTGGAAAGTAATAAAGGAAATATATATGTATTTATATGTATGTGTGTGTGTGTGTGTGTGTGTGTGTGTGTGTATGTGTGTATATATATATATTGTCGGTGATCAGGCCTACCACTGTTGTGGAGTCGTGCCTGGCCATGCATTCATGGGTGAAGAGGGAGTACAGGAGGGGACTGAGCACGCACCCCTGAGGGGCCCCCGTGTTGAGGATCAGTGTGGCAGATGTGTTGTTACCTACCCTTACCACCTGGGGGGCGGCCCGTCAGGAAGTCCGGGATCCAGTTGCAGAGGGAGGTGTTTAGTCCCTAGCGCCCTTAGCTTAGTGATGAGCTTTGAGGGCACTATGGTGTTGCACGCTGAGCTGTAGTCAATGAATAGCATTCTCACGTATGTGTTCCTCTTGTCCAGGTGGGAAAGGGCAGTGTGGAGTGCAATAGAGATTGCATAATCTGTGGATCTGTTGGGGCGGTATGCAAATTGGAGTGGGTCTAAGGTTTCTGGGATAATGGTGTTGATGTGAGCCATGACCAGACTTTCAAAGCACTTCGTGGCTACAGACGTGAGTGCTACAGGTCGGTAGTCATTTAGGCAGGTTATCTTAGTGTTCTTGGGCACAGGGACTATGGTGGTCTGCTTGAAACATGTTGGTATTACAGACTCAGTCAGGGACATGTTAAAAATGTCAGTGAAGACACTTGCTAGTTGGTCAGCGCATGCTCGGAGTACGCGTCCTGGTAATCCGTCTGGCCCTGCGGCCTTGTGAATGTTGACCTGCTTAAAAGTCTTGCTCACATCGGCTACGGAGAGCGTGATCATATAGTCATCCAGAACAGCTGATGCTCTCATGCATGCTTCAGTGTTGCTTGCCTCGAAGCGAGCATAGAAGTGATTTAGCTCGTCTGGTATGCTCGTGTCACTGGGCAGCTCGCTGCTGTTCTTCCCTTTGTAGTCTGTAATAGTTTTCAAGCCCTGCCACATCCGACGAGCGTCGGAGCCGGTGTAGTACGATTCAATCTTAGTCCTGTATTGACTCTTTGCCTGTTTGATGATTCGTCGGAGGGCATAGCGGGATTTCTTATAAGCGTCCGGATTAGAGTCCCGCTCCTTGAATGCGGCAGCTCTACTCTTTAGCTCAATACGGATGTTGCCTGTAATCCATGGCTTCTGGTTGGGGTATGTACGTACGGTCACTGTCGGGACGACGTCATCGATGCACTTATTGATGAAGCCAGTGACTGATGTGGTGTACTCCTCAATGCCATCGGAAGAATCCCGGAACATATTCCAGTCTGTGCTAGCAAAACAGTCCTGTAGCTTAGCATCTGCGTCATCTGACCACTTCCTTATTATCCGAGTCACTGGTGCGTCCTGCTTTAGTTTTTGCTTATAAGCAGGAATCAGGAGGATAGAATTATGGTCAGATTTGCCAAATGGAGGGTGAGGGAGAGATTTGTACGCGGCTCTGTGTGTGGAGTAAAGGTGGTCTAGAGTTTTTTTTTCCTCTGGTTGCACATTTAACATGCTGGTAGAATTCGTGCACCAGCTGTTGTTTACAAATATACACAGACCGCAACCCCTTGTCTTACCGGAGTCAGCCGTTCTATACTGCCGATGTAGCGAATATCCCGCCAGCTGTATGTTATCCATGTCATCGTTCAGCCACGACTCGGTGAAACATAAGATATTACAGTTTTGAATGTCCCGTTGGTAGGATATCCTTGATCGTAGGTTGTCCATTTTTGTTTTCAAATGATTGTACGTTGGCTAATAGGACTGATGGTAGAGGCAGAGTACTCGCTCGCCGTCAGATCCTTACAAGGCACCCCGACCTACGTCTACGATATCTCTGTATCTTTCTCATGCGAATGATGGGGATTTGGGCCTTGTCGGGTGTCTGTAGAAAATCCTTTGCGTCCGACTGATTGAAGAAAAAATCTTCGTCCAATACGAGGTGAGTAATCGCTGTCCTGATATCCAGAAGCTCTTTGGTCATAAGAGACGGTGGCAGAAACATTATGTACAGAATAAATTACAAATAATGCGAAAAAACACACAAAATAGCACAATTGGTTAGGGGGCCGTAAAACGGCAGCCATCTCCTCCGGCGCCAAAAGAGTATCAGTGTGTATCATGTCAACTGGTGCTTTAAATGAGCTAGGAAATAAATAATTTATTCCAGATTAACAAAAAATGTCATGCATATTCTGAATTCTGTTTCTTGAAAGGTGTAGGAGAGCTGTGATTACATTTATTGTAAATGTTTACAGTTGAGACATCTCTGCAATGTAGTGATATACAGTCAGTTGTAATGATACTTAAATACTGTTCCTTTGGGGAAAACATGCATCTTGTATTGTAAATTCTTCAACTTGGTGTGATATTGCATTTGTTGTCATGGCTAATCGAATCAGTAAATATTCATTCAACTCCATCTTTCAGTATACAATGTTGGAGTAAACGATCCACTAGATGGAGACATAAGACAAGACATAGAGAACAAAGTCCCTGAAACCAATTTCCATTTTCCCTCCCTTACTACAACCATAAAAACATTTTCCAATGTCATGGATGTGGGTGGATGTGATGTGTGAACCAGTTTCTTAGAACTTGACTTTGCAAAAACGGTAAGACCGATTACTGTCAGACAGAAAGACTGATTACTGTCAGACAGATTATGACCTCGTCCTCTATATAATTGTGTATCAAAGTACTGAACAACATCCATTCAGACAGCTTTTTTATAACACAAAGAAAGTGACTATGGGGATGTTGTTCAAGATAGGAGACCCAAGAGTATTTAGTCTGTACCATTTGATTGAAAGCTACAGGTCTTGTCAGAGTACAGTATAATTCTTCTTCCCAAAAGAAACAGGGTAACCTTTACTGAGGGAAACTATGTGTGCTTCCCAAATTACACCCTATTCTCTTGCTTATATAATGCACTACTTTTGTCCAGAGCCCTATAGGCACTGGTCAAAAGTAGAGCACTACATAGGGAATAGGCTGTCATTTGGGAAGCACTTATGCCCGGGAGATCCTGGTATTATAACAGCTGAGGAGAAAGATTCTTAGCTGTGGTCACATTCATTCTCTAAGCCCTACTGACCCCAGACATGGAATATTTACCACCTTAATACTCTGCCGCAGCTGGTAATCATACATTTTAATTGCAGGTGTCATCTATTTTCATATTTTCTCTGAGTTATGCCCCATTAAAGCAATGTGTAACCCGGGCTAATAACACCCGGTGTCACGTTTGAAATGGAAAATAACAATTTATACTCCCTCTTATTAACCTATCCTGCTTTGGGAGATAATTCAGACTGACATAGTCACCTTAGAGCAGCAGACAGGGATCATGGAGGGAGGGAGGGAGGGAGGTAAAATGACTGGTGAAAAACAAATACTAAAGTAAAAGTAATTGAGTTATTTTTTAAATAAAAACATTGACCTTGATAATTAGCTACTTTCGCTAAGGTTACCTGAACGTTGTTACAAATGATAATTTTCATGCATTAAATTCAAAAAGCAAGAGAGGAAATGAATGTACAGTAGGAACTAAGGTCATTTATTTTGAATTGCAATAAGGCACATCTGTACATAAAAAAACCTACTAATTTCTCAAAAATATACTATTAACATTTGAAAA